GGCTAAAACATTATTCTTAAAATTGAGCTGAGGAGAAAAAGAAAGATTAAGCTATAATTTACACATTGGTCTTCAGGGTAATTTATCCCTCAAAATTTGGAATTTATTTATAATTTATAGCCCACCCACTTCCATAGAAGGATTTGAGACAGCAAAATTTGGAATAAGAATCCAAGAGTATTATATGTGGGATTAGTACATTCAAGTTCTGAAAGTAATTTAGTAAAAAGTGAAAATAAATAACTTTGTTAAAGATTTTTCTCTCTTAAATGTTTAAGAAGAGGGGACAGAAAACTGTTAATCTTTTATTTTATAAACATCACTATCCTATATTATTTTTTTAAGCGAAAGAATGCCTAATTTCTTTAAATTATGCTGGAGACAGAAAGTTGAGAAGAGAAAGTAGAAATCCATCATCAAAAATAAAGTTCTAGAAACCTTTAGAACTACATGTTTGTGTTAATATGAACTTACTATCAATTTCAACTCATTTCCATAATGAATCAAAGCCCTTGGTCAGTATTACAAGAGCTCATCTGTAACTGGGTTCCAATGAATTTGCTACATATCATGTGTCATCACCAACATTTAACATTCCAGGATTGGAATCCAGGAATCCATTATTTCAGGAATATATGGAATTCAAACTATAAAACACCTGAAAAAGAAAATATTTGCAGAGCTCCTAGTTCTAGGAGCTGTTGAACTATTCCAGGCCCTACTCAAAATGGGTGCTTCTGAGTAAACTAAGCAGCTAGCACTGGGAATAAGTTAGTAAACGGGTGAGTGCAAAATCATCACAAACAACATGTTATTATTTCAGAGCCCATCACACAAACTCCTGATATTCAGTCTGAACAATCAGGAAGGGTCCCAGCACTGCACACTCGGAGGGACGCCTCTGCCTGCCAGGCAGTGTGGAGTCTGGCTGCTCTCCAGGGTTGCAGTTTAAACATAAATATCCTTCAAAACTCGGTTTGGTTGGGACTCACCACAGGCTTTGGTTTGGAACTTTCCAGTAATGCCCAAAATAATTCGACCTGAGACACACTGGCTGGCCACCACCATCCCTAACTCCTGGGAGAACTCTCTGGAGGCAGACTGAGGCTTCCTGGGCTGACCACCCAGAAGAGTGAGTGGAGAATAATGCAATAAGTGGATGAAAATGGGGGTGGGCGGACAAAGAGCGAGCGGGCAGAGGAATGGGTTGGCCAGGGTGAGCTGAGCCTCAGGAAAGGGCACTTCCAGGCCTACGTGTCCTCTAGATAGAAGACTTCACCACCACCTAGGAACTGTACTTGCAGAAAAAAACTAAACAGGAATTTGTTCAAGCCTCTAGAGTTAGCTACCATTTCACAGGAAACATAGATGATAATAGAACACGTTGAAGGACAGGCCAAGTATGCAGCCACGAGAGACAGAAAACTCTAGAGGACAAGCAGCGCTCTTCAACAAACACTATGTTGCATAAATTTTTTTAAAGAAAAATAATTGAGGGAAAACCTATTGATTACAATGGATTGACCTTATCTGAATCCTGATTTAAACAAACTGAAAGAGAGTAAATAGAAATATTTATTGTTTTAAGTGGATTTACACTACCAAATTTCAAAGTAACATATTACTTGGCAACACATACCAGTACAGAAATCCACACTGAAAAATAAAACAGGAGTGTGAGACCTAACAAAAAGAAGAGGCACTTTGAGTTCAGACAGACTTGGATTCCAATTTTGGAACGCACCACTTGCTAAACTGGGGAAAGTCATTTGGAATCTCTCTCCAAAAAGCTGGAACCTTTCAATTTGTAAAATAGAGATAAAAATGACTAGTGCCCAGGGTTATTGTAAGAAAATAAAGACAGGACCCATGCATAAGTGCTTAGCACATTGCTTTGCACAAAATAAAGAAAAAGCTGATGAGAAGCTGTGATTTTGCATAATCACGCTAGCAGTGCTCATTCTGAAATGGCCTCCCCCTCCACCACCAAGGGGAGAAGCAGCAGATGTCCCAGAAGAGGCTCATCCACAGTTCCTCCTGGCAGAGGCAGGTAGAGGAGGGCTCCAGAGCACAGGGAGCTGCATCTCACGCCAGGTCTGCATTTCCTACTTCTTTCTCTCTTTTTTAGACTCAGGCTACATGGTAAGCTGCGAACCCCAGTGCGGGAAAACATGCGGAGCTAGAGCATGAACCCAGGGAAGACACACCGGAAGAAGGGGCCCGAAACACTTCCAGGGTGCTCCTAGACTGGCATTAAAACAGAGTATGAAATGGGGGCATCCACACAGAATTCAAATGTAAGGAGTTTTCCTCTCCTCAGTCCACCAACGCAAAAAGAGACTGGCTCTGAGCTGGCAGCCTCTCTTTCATTTGTCATTATGTTTTAAAGACAAGGAAGTTTTAATGTCTAAAGATGGGAGGTGATTATACGAATAGAGCTACACATGTTTTTTTGGCAGCCCGGTCACCAGCACTTAAATTCACTTCTGACAGTTCTCAGAATCTAAAGACCTGTAAGTACTAAACTGTCATCTGCCTATCCAGGAGAGATTTCACTTTGGCAGCATTTCAAAAGTTGAAATCACTCATTTTTTTATGCATATTTTCATCACCACAATATTTCCCTAAAACATGTAAAACACTGTATTCTTGAGAGACATCTGAAAAGAGGTTTGTGGTACAGGGTTTACTAAAGGAAAATCACCCTTGTTTCTGCACCTAGAAGTACACACATTCAGACTCATCTGCTAAAGTCTAAGATTAGGGTAAAACGGGTGAAAGCCTTCTCCAAGGGTTTGGGCTCGACGATTACAAGAGGCAGAGGAATCTGATGATTTTTGAACTACTTAATGGTGAAAAACTAATGGCCCTGTTATAACTTGGAAGATGGTGCTGTTATGTAACAGTTGGCGCTTGCCGGCAGAACTGCTTGCTTCCAGTGCGGTCTGACACAGAACGGGAGGCACTGGAAAGAGGCAGTACATCTAAGCTCCAGCAAGAGCAGCATGGTGTCAGGGAGAGAGCACACCAGTCAGAACTAGATAAAAACCCAGCGTCTGCTGCCAACCTGCCCAGTGACCCTGTGAAAGTCACTCACTGCCTCTGATCTCTGTTTCCACCACACACAAAAGGAAAGCAAGTTCAGCCTGGTGGTAAAGCGGGGCCCTGGAGTGAGGAACCACATAGGATCTGAGCGCCTCTGCTTCCCAGCCAGTCGCCTTCACAGAACCAACCTACGCTTCTGGTCTCACAACCTGCATCTGTATAACAGAGATAGTAAATAACACTTCCCACAAAGGGTGGCTTTGAGAATTAAATCAGAAAATGCATGCACAGTGTTCTTAAGTGCGCGGCCCATAATAAGCACTCAATAAATGAGCTGCCACTGCGGCCGTTGTGGTTATTGTTATTATTATTCTCTTTCAAACAACCACAAAAGCATTAGTTGGAGGAGTCAGCCATTTGTAGTAAAACTCTGCTTCCTGACAACTGAGATCATGGCTTGCTTCAAGCTAGCTGGGCTTCTAACGGTCACCCCTCTCTCCCCAAAGCCTGGAAAAGTGCCTGGGGCTTTGGAGACACTCATTAGATGTGTTAAGCAAATGAACACATGGATGAACGAATGCTGAAGGTATAAATGTGCAAATGTCTTAAAAGCTACTGCTGTACCCAGACTCAGGGCTCTCTGAGAGCTCCGGCCGCTGCTGGCAGCCAACACTGCCACACACGGCAGAGAGCACACACAGGAGGGCTCACCCGGGCCTGCTGGCAAACTGGGGATGTTATCCGACTGGTCCCAGTGTGCAGCCTGCACTTAACTGGACGGTGCAGCTCTCACCAAGGACTCTAACTCAGGGCTCCGACCTCAAGGAGTCAGGCCACTTGCTTGCTCCAAAAAGGGCTTTAGAGACTTCTTAGCCATCTAAAACTGCTGACTGAGACATTAAGGGAGACACGAGGAGAACTGGATACTGGACAGCATTGAGCGGTCATAGCTCCCTAGCACCATATGAACATTTGGTTTAAGATACATCTTCTTACCCCCATCACGTGCTTGATGATCCTAACAGAGCCTCACTCAAAGAGAGCTTGTCATTTTATCAGCATTCTCCAAATTCAGCCATGTTAGTGCCACTTTTGGAGCTATCTTATCCTTGGCACCAACTGTACTATTATTAACTTAATCCTCATGTTTAATTCAACCCACTAGAAAAAAAAAGTTAAATGAAGTTACTTTTTAATGAAATTGAAACCACTATGTTAAATAAGAAACCAGTATTGCCTGCCCTAAAAAAATATGAGAGAAGCGTAAAAATATACACTTGGAAACAAAATATTGTAATTAAAATTGAGCTAACCACCACTGCCTGCCTCAGCTTTGGGTTTGAGGCCTGCTCCCGCTCCCTGTAAGAGAGAGGGGTTAACATGTGACAGTGTAAAAAGCTGGCAGCCCCTAGGGAAGGCTTCCTCCTTCAGGCATATTGAAACACTGAAAAAGGATTTAAAAAAGTGGTGAGTTTCTCAAGATGGAAGTCCACGTGTTTGGAGCCACGTGCATGGACCACATCAAATCATCACACGTTTGCAAAACTGCAGAACCTTCTTCTCGTGCTCTGAATGTGAGCCCCCTTGCAGGAGTGGAGAGCCGAGGTTTCTTCTTCCCGAATGCAATTAAAATGTACTTTCCCTCGATTCTGAGGCTGCAGAAATGTCTATAATCAGGATGCATCTTACCGTCATCTGGCTTTTATTAGCCACTTTTACTAGTGCTTTAATAGTGTCTTTTCTCTTTATCTGGGAAGCTGTTACTAGATGGATGACACGTCTCATAATGAGAGTCAAGAAAATACGGCACACCTTAGCAGGGCCAATATAAATGGGCCTCCTGCTTGGACGCCAAGACAACACAACAGCCTTGCGTTCTCTCAATTATGTTCATCTGATAAAGACATTACAATAGTAAGATATTATGATCTATAACCCTCTGCTGGAACACTCACACATTCTTGGCCTTGAACGCTTGAGCAAAATGCTGCACGCTACGGAGCAGAGCAAGGTCCAGGGTCATTGCTTCCACCTTGGCTTTATGCTGGAATGAGAGAAAATAAAAAGAAATGATAAATAACAGCAAGTTTAGTTCATGGTATCAAGTTACAGTAAATGTGTTATGGAACATGTCGGAATTCCCCTGTTTAATATTAGACGCCCAGAGAGAATATAAATCATCGGAATGAATGGAAGAACAGGGCTTTTACTGCCAAGTTTAGGGAGGATGTGAGGCTGGGACTCTGCTAACACTGCGGGCTGGGGGATGTGCTATTTCACGCAGTGCATGGAAGAGGCGCCTAAGGGTCTTCAGGCTCCTGTAGCTCCTCTCAATCTGGACCCTAAAAAACCGGGATGAGAGGGGAACACCCAGGCAAAGCCTGGCCTGGCTGGTGCGAGAATTCAGCAGACAACACTTGAATCTCAAAAGCTGTATCCGGGTCCCACCAAGACTGCATCCAAAATTAAAGGCAATTGGTTTATAAAAAGTACAAAAGCAGGCAAAAGTCATTTACGCTGGTGGGTCAGGCCTGGCCCAGATCCCCCTGGTTTAGGAACCCAGGAGACTCTATAGACAGCAGGGGCATGTGGGTTATCGTAACGGTAATTATGGCTGCTGCCTATTCAGAGTCCACCGTGCGCAGGGCACTGACCTACACCATCTCATTCCATCCTCACACCTGAGAGATGGGCTACATTTTCCCAATTTTCACTGTGGTATCTTAGAAGAGATCACAAAGGTAAGAAGCCAGGGCAGCAAGCATTGACCTGAAGTCAATCTCATACAAAAGCCCAAGTTCCCTCCTGGAAAGAAACCAGAAGGACTGGAACAGTCAGGTTTTGAAGCGCCGGACGGCCTCCTGGTGCAATTCTCAAAGGTCAGCACTGCCTTTCAGCCTTGTGACACGTGTATGGGGCACTCCCAAGTCTACAGTTAGGCTGGATTTCAGGGGTATGAGACCAAATACTACCACTTCTTAGACCTATCTCCTCTAAAGATGGGATGCCAGGCCACCTGCCTGTTCAGGTAAGAAGAGCCCCACCAAACAAATGATTAACTTGGGAATTCTTGTCTAGATGGTGATGCGAAAGTCAGACTAAGGAGAATAACATCATACCTCTAACGCTACAAAGCGGGGATGCAAACAGCTCTGCTGAGAACACCCTCCCCCGCAAACTGTCTTATTCAGGGAGGGACACGAACTGCTGCGATGCTCAGAGGGTCTACAGCAGTTTATCTCGGCCACCTAGGTCCTGGGTTCTAGTCTGGCCCCCACGCTTTGAATAATTAACATCAAGCCGAGGCAGCTGGGAACGTTCTGACTTTGGGCCACTTAACATTTCTGATATTCAGTTTCCTCATTTGTAAAAGGTGACTATTAATGATCTCACAGAACTGTGAGAATAAGTGTAAAGCATCTAACAACCTGTCCGGAAGAGAGAAAATATTTAGTAAATTTAACTAGAAAGAGAGAAAATGTCTACTGTGCCTAATCCTTTCCCTGATGCCTCCTCCCGCAATAAACAGTGGTCTGGGCAGACAACCGCGCAACCTGGCAGTGGACGTGGTGTTAGTGCCACTCTAGGGTCTTCCCTGAAGGCCGTAGCAGACTAGATCTTTGTTACATCCCAGAGGATCCAGGTCCTACCTAATAACAGAGCCCAGTTGTAGGGAAAGGGGGCAAAGAGTAAATTATATGACTTCCCCAAACCCAAGAGCACATTGGCGGCAAAGGTAGATTTATATTCAGAGAACGGTGGCAGATGCTAAAACAGGCAGATTTTGAAAGCAGGATGAGAAGCGGTTACCTTGACCCAGGCAATGGGAACTCAGGTTTTGTTCGAGTTTCCTAAGATCAGGGAATGTTTGAGCTGGAGGACCCAGAGTGAGGCAAGACCACGCCCCTCATCCTACAGAGCAGGAGATTACCACCAGGAGAAGTAAATGAATTTGAGTGAAGTTGTACCCTGTGTAGACAGCGTGGGCTTACCAATGAGAAGCAAAACCCCACATTTTCTGTCTGAAACGTCAATATTTATCTGATAGTTAAAATCGGAGTGTAAAGTCTGTCAAAAGCTAACTTCCTCCCCTGGAAGATTCTGATGCCTCATAAATGCTCAACTACCTGATTTGTCATTCAGAGTGGGCATATAAAGGGGCTTTTCTCCATCACCTTGCGTCCTCTGGCCCCTGCCCCACTCCCTTCAGTTGGAGCATGACACTCACTGCCATACACAGAATCTGACGGAACTCTGAATGCATCCTAAGACCAAAGTCAGATATTCATTCTGTTGGGAAAACAGTAGTAGACATTGTTTCTCTCAGCCAAGCCCCCTATAAAAACTCCATGAGATATTATAAAAATGCACGTAGAAATTTCCACCATAAAACAGGGAGAACATTCCCAGATGGTGACCCCAAAGCAATTTTCCAACAAAAATGATGGCAGGGCCAAGTGGGCCTTTATATCCCTCTCTATGTGTAACTTACAGTTGGTAAGTTGTCTTTAGGTCCTCCCCTTTCGCTTCAAAATAAAGCACAGAGCTGCCACTGCCAATAAGAACAAAATCAGAACATACACATCCAGGGGGACCTGGGGGTCGCAAGCCATCAAGTAGTTCAACAGACTAATCCACGGGCTGTGGGTTACTAGGCTCCTGGGGACAGTGATTCAAGTCCACACACTATTACTCAGGTAATTCTCCTGCCCTCGGTATCAGGTTTCTGTTTCTACTGCTGACCCTGAGAAATGCAGTGAAACTGTGTGCAATACAGTAAATCCAGTGAAAGAAAAACACAGCTTATAGAATTAGGGGGGGGGGTGTGTGTTTATATGTGTGTGTTGGGGAGTTTGCTCTTCTGATTCTGTAAGAAATTTAGCACCTTTATGAAGTGCTTATCATGAGACATGCTCTAAATGGACGTGCAGGGGCTGATGGACCCCATTTTTGAGGGGTGAACTACAAATTGCTAGGTGAAGACAACAGACTAAATTTGCCAGCATGAGCTTTTCTGCCAAGCCTGGCCTTGAATCTGGGACTCACCATGATTCACTTTTCTTGGTTTAATTCATAAAATTTTTGCTGTTGCTTTCAACTTTGATTTGGAACAAATTACAGACTCTAAAGAAATGATACTTAAGAGTGTCCATATACCCATCTCCCAGCGTCCTCCAGTGCTGATATCTTACTCATGCATACAGAGCGCATCATCAAAACCATGACATTGACATTGGCACGGTGTAATTTATTAGACCTCAGACATTATTAAGATTTCACCAATTTTTGGATGCACTTATTTTTTTTTTATTTGTAATGTCTTTGCGTATATTCAATGACATTTTATCACATGTATAAATTCATAAACCTTCACTACGTTCAAGACACAGAAAAGTTCCATCACCATAAGGAATCAGTGAGTTTTCTATGAAGAGGTATTAAAATCAACACAGGCCACCTGGCCTTGTTTGGCCACAGTGTGCTCTCTGGATAGGCAAAACAAACACACTGACAAAGTCCCAGCTTAAAATCCTTTGGGAGCTTTGAATGGCTCTCAGATATGGTCCAGATTCCTACGCATGGCTCTCACAGAGTCTCCGTATCAATCAGGATATGCTTCAGTAAAGAACAGCCCCTCCCCAACCTGAAGCTCCGGGTCTTAAAACAACCAAGGATTATTACTCGCTCATGTTTCGTGTCCGCCCCTGGTTGGTGAGGCCATGTTCATCGTCGGTAGCCAGGGTCTGGGCAGATGAATCCTCCACCTTCCGTAACATCATCAGCCTCTACAGTGTGGGGGAGGGAATGTGAAAAATTGCACATGGGATCTCAAGGGCTTCCAACCAGCACTGACAGAGGTTGCTTTTCCTCACGTTGCAGAATGAGGAGAAATGGGAATATATAATGAAGAATAGTAACGACTAGCACAAAGCCCACGACTTGGCCCTGTCTACCTCTCCAGGGTTATTTCAGGTCCCTTCCTACATCGTGCTTTCATTAGTTATAGGAAACTTTTAAAAAAGACTGATGAATATGAACAAAAAATGCGTACACATTCCCACTGCCCCAGCATAAACTGTTATCCTTCCGTGTGTCTGTCTCTACTTCCTTTCCTCTCTCTCTGCCTGTGTCTCTATCTATGCAATTTTCTACTTAGCTTTAACAGAAAGAACCTCATACTAAAAATTTTGAATCTTAACATGTATAAAATGCCTCTCTCAACCCTTCCCTAAATCCTTACTCCTTTTTCTAGTCTCACCAGTACACAAGCTTATCATCGCAGGCAAAACAGGAATGTAAATTTATTTTAAATTATGTATACAGATGCTGGTACCCATCGTTTTAAAACAGAACCGCACAGGTGGCATCTCACACATGGAACATCAGGCAACTTCTAAGTAGCTGAGAGAAGACCACCTGCTCCTGACACCCCAGGCACAGCCAAGAAGACATAGTAATTAAGCAACCCACATACTCCTATTCCTTTTCCTTGGGACCAGGGATACTCGTTGGTGGCACAGTTCACTGACACCCTCCATAGGCCAAGCCTGCGTCATCTATTCTTTGTTGAGTTCCAAAGCCTGTCTCAGTGATTCAAGAGTCTGTGAGCGCAGAATCCTCTGATTGCTTGCTGTTGTCATGCAAGAGTGATCTCTCATACAATTTCATGACTATGAATTAGCCAAGTGTGACTCACATGTGATACCGCCTGAAACCAAAGGAACCATATGGGGGTTGAGTGGTATTTAAACGAAGAAATAGAAAGCTGTTGCCACCCCCAGCGGAGACAGCAGCGCCAGGCTGAGCAGGAGCCCCGGCCCGGCAGGCCCGCGGCCCCGGCAGAGTGACGGCAGGGGTGGTGCTCCGATGCTCAGGGTCTCAGCTGCCTTATTTTAAAGTGGGCACTTGTCTTGCAGGTTAGAGCACAGGTTAGATATGATGTACGTAAGGTGGGGGCACAGAAATCATAACTAGTATCATTATTATTTGGAAGGCCACTGCTAAAATGTGATGAGCATTGTTTTTCCATAATAAAGCACATTA